TAGGCTGGATTGCTGCCACGGCTTATCTGTGTTTATTGCTGCCCAAGCTTGTCCGTGCCGGTTTGCTGCCAAGGACCTGTCTGTCTGTTAATTAAATGCCGTAACTTATCTTTGGCTCAGAGTGTGTGTTGGTGTGGGACGAGGGGGGTCAGAACAGGTGTCTTTCAGCAATCTTTCTTTTCTCATGATCTTCTGGCTACATTAAGCTAATTTTCAGAAACCAGTTCTGATGTCTGTTGAGTTATTAATCTAATTGTCTTATTATAAGATGGGACTCTCCGGCCCTCAAAACCAGTCGTCCCCAATCTTTCTGGTTTTGTGGACCAGCAGTAGCAGAAGGAAGGGGATGGTTTCACACATGCACACATGCCAGCTTACACAAATGGAGCAACTTATGCAACCCAGTTGTGAATGTAGACCAGGGTCGGGGATCCCTGCTTTAAACTATAGCTTCCAACAGTGTCTGTATGGGTGATCCCAGTTTGAGCTATTGAGAGATGCAGTTCAATAGCATCCAGATGTCATAGCTGCATAAATTACCTTTAATACATCTGCAGATTCATCTGCAGAACCAAAGAAGAACTCTTACCTTAGGAAGCTGTTTGGCAATATCTCCACCAACAAACACAGCTTCTAAATATATCCATAAATTCTGCACCATCATCCAGTTCTCAATAATATCAGTTGTGTTCGAAAGAGATTGCACCCATTTTTGTATCTGAGCCTTGAATGGTGAGTTATATCTGCAATAATTGCACATATTCAAAAATGAGCAAATGAATCTCTACATTTTAAAAAAAGAGAGAGAGATCTGCATATTACATATTACCTATTGCTCATTAGGGAGCCCAGAATCATCAAGCTGTCCTCCATACTTGCAATAATTTCAGAAGTGCTGTCTCCCCTCAAGAGAAGTTCTCCGCGGGTTTTAAAATTAGCAAAAGTAAATGTTTTATTGTCCCATTCAGCAATCACTTGTTTGAGCTTCTGTTCAATGTCCCTCTCTTTCATGGCACTGATGCAGATGTCCTACCAAAACCAATCAGAAGGTTAGTAATAAAAAACTAAATCCAGAATATTAGAATATCTTCCAGTCAATAGCCCTGGAAATTTCCAAGCCAAAGTTAAATGAATTGCTTCAATACATACTGTAGGTAGAAAAAAGTTTAATAAAAAGTGAATGATTGTTCAGACAGATAAACCCACTTGCTACAACCCAAAACCAAGTATTCTACCCGTGTACATAATACATAGCTTCCTGTTGTGGCCCAGCAGGAGCCGTTGGAGCTGCCACCGGACTCCGACAGCGAGGGGCCCTATGAGTCGGCTCTGGAGGATGTGGAGGACCCTGGACAGGGTTCTGACTCCGAGCAGTGTGCAGTGAGTTTTTCCTGGATGCCCGGCACTGAAGAGCTAATAGGCATCAGGAACTGTTGTGCAAGTACAGGAGGTAATTGCACTCA